ACACACACACACACACACACACACACACACACACACACACACACACACACACACATCAGAACACCACAACAAGTCTAAACCGGTCAGGTCAAGGTGTTCCAGACTCACATCGGCCACCTTGGAGGCTCGTCTGAGGAAGTGTAGGGGCAGAGGACGCCCCAGCTGGAAGTCCAGGTTCTTCAGGATCAGCTGCTCCATCAGCAGGATCTGAGACTTGCTGAAGGAGTTGTCTGTGATGTAGGCGAAGTCTCCGACCTCGGGGTAGAAAATCTCTTCGTATTTGCAGGCCAGCAGCATGGCGCTGATGCCAGCCAGCTGCAGCTTCCTGCGAGACACCGGCTGGACCTGCAGCACAGCAGAAGAGGGCTTCAGATCCAGGCCGGACCAGGAGGAGGCAGCTCGGTCAGGTCTTACCTGGAGGAACCGGTCCAGGAGGGCCACTGTGAGGTACAGAGTCTCCTGTAGCAGCTGGAACTTGGAGTGAACCTGGACCAGCCAGTCGACGAGAAGAGCTCTCATGTTCGGTGTGATCTCATATCCATGCATGTAGTCTGCTCGCACAGCCTGCTCCACCTGAGGAGACACGCCCAGTCAGAGGAGACACGCCCAGTCAGGGGAGACACGCCCACACCAGACCACAGACACGCCCAGTCAGACGAGACACGCCCAGTCAGACCAGACACGCCCAGTCAGAGGAGACACGCCCAGTCAGACCAGACACGCCCAGTCAGACCAGACCACAGACACGCCCAGTCAGACCAGACCACAGACACGCCCACGCCAGACCACAGACACGCCCACGCCAGACCACAGACACGCCAGACCACAGACACGCCAGACCACAGACACGCCCAGTCAGACCAGACCACAGACACGCCCAGTCAGACCAGACCACAGACACGCCCAGTCAGACCACAGACATGCCCACAGAAAGACTCACCTCCAGGACGTGCAGGTACTTGTAGATCTCCTTGACGTACTGAGAGCAGAGCTGTGGCTGCTCACCGTCCTGCTCGTCCACGTCCTGCACGGTGAGCAGCACCCTGGAGAAGGCCTGGCTCAGTTCCCTCTCCTCTCCTCTGGACTGGTCAGCCTCTGACGGAGGAGGAGGCAGAGCTGCAGCAGCTGGCAGCCTGACCACAGAGCTCTGCTCCTTGACTTTCCTTCCTTTACCTCTCTGAGCACAAGATGCTTTGGATGGTTTCTGAGACTCATGGAGACTCCCCTGTAGCACTGTTGTGATGCTGTGCTGAAGTGGGAGTGTCAGAAACAGAAGGAGACAGAGGTCAGTGTTTCT